GGCCAGTCTGCTTCTGACACCAGTGTCCACATCATTGATCTCCATCTCTGCTGGAGGACAAAGCTGGATCAAAGCTTTCAGGATCAAAGCTAAGGCAAATTAGCTAACTATTATTATGGGAACCATGCCAGCATAACAAGATCATAACAACTGATGAGTGCTCCAGAGCAGCAGTTCCCTCTCCTCTTATTTGACCGTATACACTTTCTATAACCTCAATTATTTTCTCTTTCGGCCTCAAAGAGAAAATTCCTTTTGTCTTCCAGTAATGAAAAAACAATGTCATATTAGCTTGATATTATTTAGAATTTATCAGAAAAGATTTTAGTCCCAATGGGGCACTTAGACCTCAATTGTGCTCACATGCAGATGAGTAGAAAGGTTCCTTTCTGCGTGGTGTAAGATCAAGCCTTAACAATTCCTAAGATCACTGAAGAGTTTTCTGATTAACAGGGATTCTGGTTTTCCCTGATAAAAAAAATGCAAATTCTCTGATTTAAAAAACCTGCAAATTCTCTAATTAAAAACCCCAAATCTGTGATTAAAATGAAAGGCCACTATATATATAGGTACCCATTGAACGCAATGTTTTCTTGATATATTTACAAATTTTAAAGAAATTTGGAAGCCTCATTCACTATAATAAAATACATTCTAAATACCTATTATTTTGGTAGTTGATTTTGGGTTTTTGATCATGGACAATCAGAGCTTCCCCTGCCCCCTTAGTGTACAGAATGCAGGTCCAGGCCCCTCACTTCCAAGCCAGAGCCACCCAGCCCTACTGGTGCCCCTAACTCCCCCTGCCCGAGCCCTGCAGTTTCCCCTCACTACGCCTCTCACCTCCTGGCCCTGCTCATGCCCCTCACTCCCCCTTACAGCTCCTGCAGTCCTGCTTGTGCCCCTCCCACAGCTCTCTGCTCCCCCAGCCCTGCCAGAGGGGGTCCCCCAACTGCCAGGACTATGGGACCAGGGACATGGGTCTGCAGCTCCCTGCCCCCTGCAGCAGCACTCAAGCCCTGGCTACCACTCACAGGAGGCAGCAGCTATTGCAGCAGAGTGGAGCACAGAGCCCGGCTTCCCACCTCCCCCCTGCCTGCTTCCTGCCCACTGTGGGCTCAGGTGGGGTGGGGCCAGCTACCCACCACTGCGCCCACTCCCAAAGGAGCAGGGGGGACTCGTGCCCCACAGATCTGTGCACTGGGTGAGGAGGGCGTGAGCTGCCCACTGCAGGCTCAGGCTTGCCACCCTGCTTCCCTCCCCCAGGGCCTCCACAGCCCAGTGGGTGTGACCCAGCACTGCAGGGCAGAGCAGGGCTGCACAGGGATGCTCCTTGCCACTGCGAACTCTGTGCTGTCCTGGCAAGGTGTCCCCTTCCTGTGCAGCAGCAGTGAGGGGCAAAACCCTACATTACTGCCCCCTCTGCTGCCACATGGGCAGGGGATTCCTTGCCAGTGCAGCACAGAGCTCACAGCATCAAGGAGCTTCCCTGCACTGAGCTACAGAGGCCATTGGGGAGGGCAGCAGGGTGGGGAGCCTGAGCCCACAGTGAGGAGCCCACACCTACCCTCCCCCCACTCTTCACATAGATCTGTGGGGCACAGGTCCCCCCTGCTCCCCTGGAAGTGCATGCAGTGGTGGAGAACCAGCCCCACTCCTCACCCCCCAAGATGAG